TTGTGTATTCCCAGGGCTATTTTTGGGCAGGAACACACAGGAACGTACAGCCGGAGATTCCCAGCCTGGGTACTGGTGTCCCACCACCATCACATTCTAGAAGGCTTCCCCACTTGCATATGTTTGGAGTTTGGGGGGTGGGGGGTATTTTATGTGTGTGTATGTCTGCACCTGGAAGTCATGGTGACCTCTGGTGACTGACCCCTACTGGGGGCCTGGAGGAAATTCAGAGAGGTGGTTGAAAGCCTGCCTCTGTCCTCCCGACTTGGTATTCCGAGGAGGTCTCCCATCCAAGTACTAACCACAGTCACCCCTGCTTAGCTTCCAAGATCTGACGGGATCAGGCTTGCCTGGGTTATCCAGGTCAGGGCTTGCGGATCTTTTGATTCTGTAAATTTCTGTCAATCAAATGATGGCTTTCCTGTCTTTCAGTCACAAACTTTGAGATTCTGATATGATACCTTCCCAGACAAGAGGCAGCTTGGAAGATGATGGGAATACTATGTGTACATGCCAGTTTGATTCATGTCACTATAACTAATGAGACAGTGGAAACAGAAGGACATTTCCGTAGGGAGGGAGACTGACAGATGACTCTCATTAATCGTTGTGATGGGAGACCACAGATGTGGTGATAAAAGGAAATTCATAGCTCAATCCAATTAAGCAGAAAGGCAAGTTTGCAATGAAATCTGATTTCTTAGGTTTTATGGCTTTTATTAAATTTTCTCATATGGAATCCCAACACTTTTTACTCCCCTTCCGTAGGTTATTTCCAGAACGTTGACTTTGTATTAATTTCGCCTTATCTGTACCCAAAGTTCAACCAGCTTTTCCACTATAAAGCCATAAAACAATTTGCTGTATAAACAGACCATTCTCAGATCTTGCCTACGTACAGTATAAATGTGTCCCACTGTTATTACAGCCAGATGGACTTTAGTTTAAAAAAATTAAATTAACTTTAATTGGAGTTCATGCTCAAGGGGCTTTAGAAGTAACTCACACTTTCCTGGTTAAAGTGGCTGGCTAGGATCTTGGAGATCCAAGTTCTAATCCCCATTCTACCATGGAAACTCACTGGGACACCTTCAGCCCGTCACTCTCTCAGTCTAACTTATCTCACAAGATGGCTGTTGTGAGGATAGAAAGGAGGGGAAAACAGTGTAGGCTGCTATAGGTCTCCATCTGAGGAGAAAAGCTATATATAAATGAACAACTACACCTCTTTCTAAGGAGTCATTATTATTATTATTTAATTAATTTAATTTATACCCTGCTCCAGGGGTCATTTCGTAGAAAAAGAGCTAGGGGAACTCATTAGCATAACTCATTAGCATATGCCACACCCCCTGACATCAGGGGCCCGGTGGTGGACCTGCAAGGCCAGCAGGAGTGCGAGGAAGCCCCGCCAAGGCCCTCCCTGGCCCCAGGCAGGCAGGGGTGGGGAGAGGCAGGGAGGAAGCAACTTACCCTCCCTCTTCTCCTGCCTCCTCCTGGCTGAATGAGGGCTGGAAGCGGGGCGGCCGGAAGCAGGGGGCGGGGCTTCATCATGTGCCCCGCCCCCTGCACCTCACCCGGGGAAACTGCGTTCCCCCGCATTCCCCCCCCGAAATGACCTCTGCCCTGCTCTATCCCACGAGTGGGCTCAGGGCAGCTTAGAACATAAAATCCACAAAGCAATAAAAGCAATAAAATAGATGGCACAGTTATACAGTAACTGAAAAACCCATGCCTCATGTCAGGCGGATATAGGTACCCCAGGAAGATCCAGTGCCCAAATTGTATCGTCTAGAGCAGCAGGGCACTGGGAAGGCGCCATGTACAGGGGAGGCCACAATAGTTGAACGTCCTCCGCCTCTACCAAAAGCCTGGTGGAACAGCTCTGTTTAACAGGCCCCGTGGAACTGTAATAAGTCCCGCAGGGCCCTAAGCATGTCCCGCCAGGTTGCTGCAAGGGCTGAAAAAGCCCTTGCCCTGGTTGAGCCTTAGCGGACATGCCTTGGACCAGGGATCACCAGGAGGTGCTGATCGAAAGAGCGTAAAGCTCTTATGCGGAGAGGCTCCTATGCGGAGAGGCGGTCCCGCAGGTGTGATGGTCCCAGGCTGCATAGGGCTTTAAAGGTCAAGACCATAACCTTGAACCGGATCCAGTATTCGATCGGCAGCCAGTGCACTGGCTGAATGCACACCCGCAAAGGCGTCGCCGTCAGCAAGCGTGCCATCCTAAGCACAGTTACACTTTTCTAAGCTCATTGACTTCAGGTGACTTACAAGGGTCTACCTCTGCTTAGGACGGCACTGTCACTTGCAGGATTGTGCAGTTTGTCTTCCCAAGCCACTCTGTGTAAGTGATACAGGATTTGGGAAATGTACCTCTCCATCCTGCCAGTTAAGATCTGCCTAACAGACCCTTTTCTCTGTGCCCATGCCTTCAGCAGTGAGGCAGGCGACAACCAAAGACAGGGCTTTTTCAGTAGGGGTACCTGATCTGTGGAATGCCCTTCCCCTTGAGGATCTAGAGTGCCAAACCATTACTGTTTGCCCGGGCTTCTAATTAAGGAGTTGGTCTCTAAAATCTCTTCCTAGTGTGATTTTAATCTAAAAAATTGTTAAGTTTGTTTTTTGTAAGCTGTCTCGGTCAGGCTCCCCAGGAGAAGTGGCCTAAGAATTCCATAAATAAACAAATAAATGTAAATATCCCCAACAAGACTTTTTCAAGTTGGGGGAATGGTGTGGTGGGAAAGGCTTAAATCCTGCATGCCATGCTTGCAAATTGAGTTAGACCCCCATGTGCCTGGGCATCAAGCTCTAAGCACAGAGCTCCCAGAGTATATCTGTTGACAGGACCTGTGGAAGGTGTGTAGGGTACATAAGGACTTAGTAACGTGCGAATGTGCCCAAATAAATTTTGAAGTAAGCATGGGTTGAAGGGCTACTGAAACAGGGCTCTTTAACTCGCTCCTCCCTAGTACAAAGAGCAGAAGAGCTGCAGGAGAGGTTCTCCCCAGAGCTTCTGTTGCTGGGCTGATGCTTTTAAAGACCTCTTTGCCGTCCACCAGATCTGGCTGTGCATCAGATAACTAACGAATTAAACAAACAAAATACAAACCTTTATTGGCATAACAACAGCGGCCTTGGTTCAGGGATAACTAACAAATTAAATACATTTGTTTTGTCTTCGTGTGACACTGTTCAGAGCTGAACTGGCTGTGAGACCCGTATCATTAAAGTAAAGTAAAGTAATGAAAGCAGTTTGGCACATGGATCCTCAACACAGTACTAGTTAGGATACATCATGGTTCCCAACTAGAATACAGCTTGCAGAGTTTGTTTAATGCTCTGTCTTGTGATCACTTCTGACTCCTTTCATACTTCCCTCTCCCCCTTAATGGCTATAAATTTTGGGTATCTCAGGCAAAAGCATTTCATTTTAACAGGCAGGCATTTTCATTTTAATACCACTCCTGACAATCTTTGCCCTCAAGGCTGACGTTTCCAGGCCAGCATTTTGCTCTAGGGTATTGATGGCAGTTGTTTTAGCTTCAAAGCCCATGGAAAAAAAGAAATTCCCGACTGCTTAAAATAAATCCACAGCTCAAAATCAGAGCACTGGCCAAGTCATTCTTGGCCCGGGGGGAGGGGTGTTAGAAAAATATATATAAAATCACAGTACCTTTTAACATGAGGTGACATTGGAAGCATCCAAATCTGATACAAATAGGTTAACTACCAAAAGTATTCTTTGCATGGGGAGAATTGCATAAAAGGATGCAGGGATGCTAATGATCATGTCACACTTCACATTTAATGCTACGATAACTAGTAAGATGTCACCAAACAATGGGAATAGTGTTTGGAAACGTGGCCATAAAATTAGGCCCTAGCAAACAGCATTGGCAATTGTCAGCTCAGGTTTCTTTCTGTTGCTGTGTCATATAACACGTGATTTTGAGGATCTGTAATTTGATCCTTGGTGTGTCATTTAGCTTCAAAAAGCAGACATGGGGAGTGGGGGAAGGTAGTGAGTCAGTTTATTCTTACGGTCTTCAACCAGTACAATCCAATCAATTTGAAATACCATGAAAAAGAATCCCCAAGATTCTATAATAACCAGAAAAAGCTCATAAGACCATAAAAGTTTAAGGGTTATAAAAAAAAATTGTTATAAAAGAGAGGAATAGAACTGCCTTTTCAAACCTAAAGGGGAAGGTATGTATTGTGGCTTCAGTGCTGGGGCATTTAACTCCCCTCACCAAGCAGTTTCCCCAATCAAAACGGTCCCCACCTTTTAGCCTGATGGGGGGAAAGCAGGTACCTATCTTCCCTCGCCCGGACTTATGCATTGACTCCAGGGAGTGACATTCCCACTGGGCAGGCAAGTTCTCCAGAAGTGTGGAAAGTTCAGGCAGGAAGTCAGCTGTCCTTCACAGTCAGTGCTCTGTTTGTGCACTTGCATCAACTCATATAGAGATCTTCCAGCTGTTCCTCCCAAGCACTTTGAACAGTTGAAGGTTTGCAGCAGTGTATAAACAGTAAACAGATCCTAATCATCTAACACATTACATTCCTAGCCCCAATCCTTATCTTCCTCCTTGCTGCTTTTTGTGGCTAAACTGCACAAGGGGGAGGGTCTGATCAGGAGCCTCCAGTGCCATGTATAATTTGGCTCTGGGTTCCTTGAGGCCCTTAGTTATGTCTCCTGCCATGTGTGTTTGCAGCCGCCGCCATGAAATTCATAGGTTAATTGCGCTTCGTACAAAGGACAGGTTTCTGTTGCATATTAGTTTTCATGGACGACCCCAGGACTTGGCGTTATCTGTTGAGACATGCATCTTGGTCTTGTGAAATCCAGTGTCACAGAGTCACGAATCTCCAGTTATAACACGGTTTCCACGTTGAGAGCCACAGGATGGTTCTCACGTGGCATTTTGTGATGGTTTCTATCTCCGGTAACTCATTTGTCATTCCGGCTGTTGTGTGTGTTTTCAATGGTCCAGGTTTCCCAGGCAGCTGCAGAGCTTCAGCAGTACTGTATGCAGAATGCCTGCAAAGATGCGTTGCTGGTTGGAGTCCCTGCGGGAAGCAATCCGTTTCGGGAGCCCAGGTCCTGTGCATTGCTCTGAAGACAGGTAGGATCCTTGTGGAAGGATCTTTGCTGCGGCTCTCTTTAAGAGTGTAGGTCAGGATTTGTCATGCAGAAAAGGAAGAGGCTTGGTTCTTTAGGATTACAGTCAAGAGAGTAAGGGGATGCTCCAGAGTATATCCCTTTCATTTTCCCTGAACAGGTGAGAATTGCTTTTGACATCTGTGGGGAAATTTAAAGTCCTTGGCAGCACAATGGCTGTTACAGCAAAGCTATGCTCCACCTTGTGGTTGTGTGGCATGGAACCCATTGCCTGGGATCTCACAGGAGGTATGCTTTCACAAGTTATGGTGAACACATGTACATCTTGCATGGATATGCGTACATCTTTTAGTAAGAAAGAGCCAACCTGCATGCACCTTAGAAATGAAGCTGGGGACCAGTACTTGGATAAATGTGCAGTTTCAATCACAGCTGTACAGATGTTGATATGAGAAACACTCAACACATTTATAAAGAAGGATCAGCTGTACACAGTGCATAGATCGTACATGCAAATGCAAGAGTAATTAGGAGTCTTGTTAACTGGTGAACAGAAAGAGAAAGACCACCTTTTAATAACCTTTTCTTCCTACTGTTGCAGGCAAGGTTAAATTCTCTTCAAGCATGAGAGGAATCCCGGCCGCCTTCCTGGTTTCAGCAAACATTTTCTCTCTTGCTATGCCTGTATTTTTGTGTGGCCAAAATGGTGTCTTTAGATATTTGTTAGTATGACTGATCATTCTTAGTAACTGATATTTCACTAATAATTGTATAAAGCATTTAATAAGAAAAATACTTTCCTTTTGTAATGGAGTCCACTTCTTTTTTCCACATTTCTCTGAGATGTTTACATTTTAGAAAAAGGTAATTATCAAATCAAAATGACTTGTTCCTTTGTTTTGTTGTGCCTGAGTGAGATGCTCATTAGCTACCTTCCTGGTTTCTGTCTTCTAAGTAAGGATGCGCACTGTGGTCATGATTCAGCTAAAGTGATGCCTTGCACACATTTATTTAGGAATACGCCCCACAAAACTCAGTGGGACATTTTTCTGAATAAAAATGCATAAGATCGGGTTGCACGTCCCATTGATTTCAGTGGGAAATCTTGAAGTACATTCTAAACTTTTTTTAAAAAATCAAGTGCTTGATTTAAAAGTGTTTTAACTTTAGCTGGACTGTGCCCAGTTTTTGTAAGAGGACCGTGCCTATCTATGTCTTATGGAAGGACTATTTTTCTTCATAAAAATATGAGGTTTTGCTATTCTTAAAATCTGTGGGTGACAATGTACAGAAATAGCTGATACCATCTGTAATACATGTTTGCCACGGACGATCCAGTGTATTTTTTATTATGCTCCTACAGAAGACTGTTTTTAAAGTGTCTAACGTGCAGCTCGGTGAATAAACACTACGCAAGACAAATGCAAGCGGTTCCATACAGTAGATTTTTCAAGGTTTAAAATGTTATTGAAGCCTCTAGAAGTCTCTTTGAGTTTGGGGGTCGGGTGCCTTTGTTTTTCTTTTTTTTTTTTTTACTGAGCACTTTTACGCAAACACTGTTTACTTTTTGAAAATGTTTTGTTTACACGCCATTGTTTGTATTAATATATTAGAAGCTTAAATGAAATAAAAAATTCCTTCCCTAATTCCTTGGTGGATATTATTCATTGTATGACAAAGGAAGCTTGTTTTGCTTCCGTCCCTGGAATGCATGGAATTTGCATTTTTCTCAGCTGCTATGCACCAAGTTGATGTTTTCACTGAATTATCGACCACGATTCCTAAGATTATTTTCCAGGATAGCCACCACCAGGTGAGACTCCCATAAGTGTTGATGAGAAGGTAGAATTCTTTGACCCATCATGTATCAGTTGACACTTTCATCTGCAATTCTGTTGCCTTCCCATTAACACAGTGTTGGAACTCCTTTGAGTACACTGGGTTTATTATCCTTATACTGCAGTTTGAATCTAGTGATTTTGATGGATTTAGGCGGGGGTAATGAGGTTTGCCAGCAGGCCTAGAGGAAAGGGTTCTTTCCGTTTTATAGGAGCTTGATGTGTGGAAATGGGCAGTTGAAGCTTTTCATGACATGGAGGTAAGCAGTATCACTTGGTATACAGCATCCTATTAAGTCTCTATTATAAAGGTCATGATACAAAAGGAAATGTCCAGTCATGTTTCTCCATTGTATTTTCAGGCAATTCCACTGCATCAAGGGCCGTCCTTTCCTACCCTGTTCTGTAAAATTTTGGTGTTAACCGATAATTCATTCCTGGTTAGAAATATCTACAGTGCAAGATAAAAGGGAAAATAACACCAAGAGGAGAGACTGCTTTGGAGAAATGCTGTAGCTTTGGATATAATAATCATTCAGGGGCAATTTGTATTAATTCTGCTGTCTTCTAGCAACTGTTACGGTGTCTTTTTTTTTTTTAAATCTAGAAGTATTTAAAGAAAGATAGTGCTAATTTTACCTGGATAGCAAAATATAGCTGAAAAGCAGTTGTACTGAAACTCAGTAGACTAAAGAAAGACACAAAGCACAAACTTTTTTTTCCTTTTGAGAGCAAGTCGCAGTCTATTTTGAGGATGAGTAGAAATGAGAAGTTGTACTATTTAAAGGGCCTCCTTGAAGGCTTGCCAAAGAATATGCTTTAAAATGTATCTGCCATAAACTCTCTGTTTCCCATATTTTAACCAGTTTACTGTAGGGTTCCTCTGTGTAAAAGGAGGAAACAGTCAAAGGAAAGGAGCAGAAACATTTGCTAGATGGTATCTCCCAGAATGGGAACAACAAGTCATATCTAAGCTAACCAACCCTGTGGCCAATTATGATTAAAGTTGTTGCAGAATGATATATTATTACTTTTAAACAGCAGATTCCTGAAATCAGCCGTTTACCAACCAAATAATGTGGAAATGGGAAATTGTTAGATCACAGACCTCAAAAGTGGGGGTGCAAACAGTGAATGCTACGTACTTTCTTTTTAAAAACACACTGTTTTAGGGATGCATCCCCACATTGCAATCAAATCCAGTCACTATCCCAACTATTCTGCTTGTACTTTTTAAAATCATGAGCTCCTTTAAGAGCTCAGCAAGGCTAGATTTCATCCCCCTTTCTAACTGCACTCAGACACCAGGACACTGCCCCGTGCATTTAGAAAAACGGGGATTGTAGAATCTCTGGTGGCCGATTGAACCTAATCATGGACCAATTACTGGTATTGTGGGAACATCTACAATGTCTTCCTAAGGCACATGCAGATGGTGTGCTGTTTCATTACTTCTAGTGTCTGTGGTCCAGAAATGCAGGGTGTCAGGATTCATAATAATCCCCATCTATCTACGCCTCTCTACTTCTAGCCTAGTTTCAGCAGCGTAAACAGATGGCTCTATGGGAGCATCCCAAGAAAAAAGTGCTTGACCTTTTCAGGGATGTTTCATGGCCTGCTTTTATGTACCTTATTACCTAACAAGGTATCAGCCAAGAAGGGGTTAGCAGAGTGATGCTTGTGCTGTCGTGCTTGGGACATTTAAGAATCCTTTTAATGAGGTTAGTACAGTATGGCTGCTGGAGAATACATAGGAGTCTGACAGCTGGTTCCAGTGCTGGGATTGTTTGCAATGCTGTGCTGATGCAAGAGGTAGCAAGCAGTATCCTAACTCTTTATCTGGTAAAGTTTTAGGATTAAGTGGTCGGTCTTTCATAAAAATTGTAGCCAGTCCATTATTGATTTCTAGAGACCTGTGTCTAAAGAGGCTGGATCTTCCTACTGCCTCTAGGCTGGATAAAAATGCCCTTTTATACTGATGATGTGAACAATTACAGAGATTTGTCACAATTTATTGGTAGTGTTTTCATGTGAGAGTTGCATCCAGTAACACCCTCTTCCTAGCAGTTCCCAAACGTAATTGAATTTGCTTCTTAAAAACTCAAAAGGACACCGCATATTAGAAAAAAGCTAACTTGCATTAAAACCAATAGATTATAAAATTGATTACAATGAATTAAAATACTTAATTACAAAAATAATTTAAACTATGTTTTCTGAAGAGTATTGCTTTTAAAAGAAACAACAACTTAAAAGAACTTAAGGCGTGTTTGACCATCACTTCTTCCAGGATCTTTTTCAAATGTTAGACGTCTTTTTTTAACCTGTGGTAATTGGGTGAGTTCTACACCTAAACAAAAAAAATAAAATGTAGAAATTAGCAATTATTTAAAAGCATTCCAAATTATGTAGATTTACATCTCTAATCCAGGTAGGATCTAGCCAAAGTTAAGGACTTGGCGGCGGGGGGCTCCCGGACAACATCCTGAGCGCGCGCGCGAAGTGCGCACGCGCCACATGCACGTCAGCCGGATGTGACGTGCTGACGCCGGGCACGCTGGGGGCGGGGCCACAGCCATCTGAGGGCTGACGTGCACACCGGGGTGGGGTTTCCCCCAGGGCCCGATTCCACGGCAGTGGTAATTGGGCCTCCAAAGCGGGGGGAAATCCGCCCCCCGGGGGCACTTGGCAGCCCTAAAACTCCAGGGTTTTGTTTTGTTTTTACTGCAACAGCCTAACATGGATACCCCACCTGGAACAACTGAAAGAGTTTCACTTGGACCTAACATGCCCACCAAACTAATATTTTTCATACTAGCTGCACTGTATCCTATACTGACCTCTTAAAAAGGAAATGAATTGGCTTACCATAGTAAAGATATACTTGAACAACTTTTGAGCTTAATGGAGAGAGAAAAAATTACATACCAAGAATTGACCTCTTAGAGGACAAAACTGATGGCCTTTGCCTTGCACTGTAATTTAACCTGCTCTTCCTTGACATAACTCAGGGTGGTTTACACAGGCTCTCAACCGTCCCCATTCCAAGCACTTGATCAGGTCCATTTCTGCTTGGCTTCAGTAACTGTGCACCTCTGGGTGCTTCGAAACCATTAATTTATCTATTCTTGCTTTAATAAAATAGTGTTGTTACCAACAGTGTTGGTTCATGTACATTTGCACTTATTTAGCATTATTTGGAGGGGTGGGGTTTAAAAAAAAAATCAAGTTCATGGTTCCAGAGAGACAAAAGCACAGATTTTCAGGAAATGTGTTAAGACTGGTACCAGGGCAACAAGGGACAAATGAAGGATAACAAGAATGAAGGATAACAAGAATGCCACACTGGCTGCACCCTTCCATCTTGGTCTTTAGATTATTTTACATTATTGAACAACTAATTAATGTCTGGCTGTTGCTCAGATCTCAGCCCAAGGGAACATCATGTGCATTGCTTACAACTCTCTTTTGTTCAGCTTAATCCTCAAAGGGTTCACAATAAAGTAACACGTATTTCAATTAACCTTTTCTCTCTTTCCTTTATGCAGCCTCTGCAGCAATAAGCTGGAGGGCCACATGGCGGTGATAATCACAGAACCTAATAAGGTCAATGGCTAGACTAGGACTGGACTTGGGCAAAATAGCCCATTTATCAAACGGGCTCCATTTTGGAGACTCTCTGTATGACTTTGAACAATAGCAGATATTGATTTAAAATGTACTGTGGTGCGGTGGACAAACGCAGTCACCGACATGTTTCTTTTAGACACGCATACAAGAAATTACATATTGCTCTAAAGAACAAAGACTGCAATACTAAATACTCTCACTGAGAAGAGCCATTAATTCAATCTAGTTTACTTAAGAGCAATCATGTTTAGGGTTATACTGCATGATATGTAAAGGAAAGGAGAACTAGTTAAACAGATCACGTTTGGAAATGGAAAATGGTTTCCTCTGGTTTTGGTTTTTGGATTTGTAAAAGTTACCAGTGATTCAAAATTGCAAGTATACAAAAATATTCCTCTGTCAAGCCAATTAGCATGTGGTAGAATGACCACTCTGATTTATAATGCAAACGTGTACGGGAAACTGTTGTATAATCTTAAACTATTTTTTTTACTTTGTTAGAAAACAGCTACAGCATCAGTGTTGTAATCTGACTATACCTGCAGAAGCATCTTGCTGTCTTCTGTTTGAAGATGACAATAAACTTAACCTTTTCCTTCCTGTATCTTCTTCAGCTGTTTGAAAGTCTATGTTAAAGGGTCTCTCTGAATTAGCTGTTGATTTGCAGAACCTTGGATCATACTGAGATGAATCTGCTGTTGGCGCTGACTGATCATCATCCTGGAATCTTTCCTCAAATTGAAATCCTGGATTGTTATATGCCGTCTCACAAAATTCTCCCAGAAAACTGCCAGAGCTCTGCTGGAACAGGAAGTCTTCTCTGCTAGCAGTAGAGTACCAGGAAGGATTGGAAAGTGGACTTGATTTGTGCTGCTTTGTCAGAGGCTGTTTTCTCACCCCAAGGGCACTTTTAATGTCCTGTTTTTTTAACAAGACTGGCACATCCAGATTTCGGCCCATTTTTATTTCAGAAGGGCATATTCCCTTCGGTGGGCTCTTTCCAAGGTAAGTGTTGATGCCCCCTTGGTTGTATCCCAAAGTTGGCACTGCAGCTTCAAAGTTATTATGGGTAGGTCCGCCAAAACTGTGCTGTGATGAGTTCACTCCTCTCTTTACTTCCACATTTTTCAGAAATGGAAGATAACATTGCCTCTTTGCCTCTCTACTATGAT